ACCTGTATTACAAGAGGCCAGTAAATATAGGGGCTCCTCATTTAATGACCCATTTCCATTCCTGCAACCAGGTTGTTAAATGAGGAACTGGGGATAGTATATACATTGCATGGAGAACAAAGAAATGGTCAAAGGAAACAACTTGAGGATTCGCTTGTACTGGCATAACTCTCATATGCAGTAATATAATGTGTAACGGAAAACTACAATATTATATGGAGTACAATCAGCAAAAACTTCAGTACCGTATCACCAAAGGACACTACAAAAAGGGCTGTCAGTTGCAGTGGGCCACTGGGAACTGCACAACAGCTCACCCTGGTCTTAAGTCTGAACAACTGTTAATGTCATTAGATGATTATTTGTACATTACTTGCTAAGTTACAACTCTTTTAAAATATCTATGGTTTAGCTTGAACATTCACTCTACGTACAAACTTGACTATTTTAGGCAACATCATCTATTTGGACTCAAGTGCTTAAGAATGTAGAATACATGCCCATCTTAAAATCAATTATGAGGGGCCAGGGAGATGGCTCAGTGGAATAGGCACTTCCCTGGCAAGTGCAAGGGCCTGAGTTCAATCCCCGGCTCTGGAAAAAAAAAAAGAGACTTGGTCTATATGAACTGAAACACAAGCAGCATAACCATGACACTGGATGGGATAGATCAAGTTAAAGATTTCCTCATGAAATAACCACTAACATAGAAACTACCCAAAACACAATTTCTTTTGCAGTCCTAATGACTCTTCATGTCTCTCATCTGAAACTTAGTCCTTATTCAACTTCTCATTTGCTTCACTTTTTTTTTTTGCGGAACCGGGGATTGAACTCAGGCCCTTGTGCTTGCCAGGGAAGCACTTACTCCACTGAGCCATCTCCCCAGCCCTGCTTCACTTTTCTTCAGGATACTTGAGCACAAAAGAATGGACTGGTGCTCTGAACAGTTGCATGCCCACCTATTTTACCTAACCAGAAATGCTGTACCAAGGAAGGCCAGTATTTCCCAGGAACCGTGGTACTGACATCCAACTATTTACTCTGCTTCCTCTGATACTGCATAGTTCTAAATTGCTAAATTATAAGAATGGGGACCTGGTGGAAGGCCCTGTAAGGAGCCCAAGAGGCACCTGAAGGCTTTTGTTTATATGGGAAAGATGGTACAAACTGGGTCAGGATCCTAGATAAGTAGGCCAGGGCACAACAGGCTCTCTGGCTAAACCAATACCTATAGGAAAAAACCTCACAACCAATACTTTATCAATACTACCTTCACAACCATTGGATTACCCCAGGGAGCAAAATACAGATCAGAGGATCTTCAGCTAGCCTTTTACAGGAGTAAACCGTGAAGTC